AGCTCCTCTGTGGTCAGTCAGTGTCGGTCAGTACTGTGTCCCGCAGGTCCAGAGCTGAGTAGTGTCTAAGAAATCGAAACTGAAACTGTGGATATGAAGAATAAACAAGTCGTTTACTTTCGTTTCCCCTCCTGTCAAAACCACCACATTCTAGAAACCGGGCTCGGTCACAGAATAGTTTCTGTTCTGAGAATAGTTTTCTTTGCGTTTGATCAGGCGGCCAGCGATGTGCTCAAAGTGTGCCCCGCACTCGTCACGTGGAGTTTTATCGGAAACATGCTGAGGCTCACGGAGAACCGCACTGAGCTGGCATGGTGACCACATACGACAACCCGTTACACAAGCGTGCTCACACACAACACAGCACAAGGTAGGTATGCCTGCAGTCTGTAAACGCAGAGAGAGAGAGAGAGACTGCGATAGGTGAACAGATGGACCAGTCTGGGCTGTTGTTTTTTTTCGGGGGGTGCAGGTAATATAAGCCCAGAGTCAATCATAGTCCAGTCATTCCTGGACGCAACATCTCTCACAGAATGACTGGCACAGATGCTCATCGTGGCGGGTGCAGAGAGAAGCTCCGAACAGCTGATCGTTTCACAGAGGATGAAACACACAGGCTTCAGACGTTTGTGTGGAGGTATTGGATTAAGGTGGGATTCCCTCTGCAGTGCAGAGGATGTCGTCTGGACTATCTGATCAACGACAGGGGCTACGCTACATTCCAGGGACAGCAGGACCATGTGAACTTCTCACAGGGCGGCAGTGATGAAGCACTTGTCTCTTGCTTTGTCAACTCGCCTGATGGCGGTGGGGAGAAGGGACAGATTGCTGTCAAAAGCAATCCCAGTGCTTCTCCTGGATACAGAAGCGCCCGTCCTTTCGTAAGCTCCCACACGTACCAGCTGTACTCGCCGACGGAGGTGTTGAGCATCGGCTTCCTGGCCGCAGCCAGGCTGGAGAGCGTGGCCATCGACGTGGTCGAGCGCAAGGAGCTCAACACAGTCTACATGCAAACTGCCGAAGCCGTCCTGGTGGAGAGGTACAGGGAGAAGAGAGCGTTAGAGTCCCTGAGAGGGAGGTGTCAGGTCCTGAAGATCAAGAAGGAAGAAGAACAAGCAGGGGACAACCGTGTGGGCGGAATGGAGAGACTGGCAGTGAAAAACGAGTAGACCCCCCTGTCCGCTCCAGTCAGAAGGTGCAGAACTGCAGGTCAGTGCACAGCCGTCTAGTCCCTAGAGCCTCAAGACAGGAAGCTCTGTAACGGAGCGTCTGATGTCCGTTTTAGTCGTTGTGCATAAAACTCCACTTTTTCTAGATAGCATCTACTTGGCTCATTTCTGTATTACATCTCCCTGAGCGAAACTTAAACCCTGAACTTCACTGAGGCACTGATGAGTGATGTACATCAGGGGAGGCAGCGGATTCCTTTCGTGTGAGAGTCTTGAAATGCTTTTAAAGGGCTCTCTGTTTTATTTCCGTGCAGTGAACTGAAACTATTTAGTGATTAATTCCTGTATTGGTGTTCTCTCCATCTCTCTCCTGTTCTCAGTCTCTCTCTCTGCCTCCCTCCCTCTACCTCTCTCCCACCACCCTGACCAGGCACTTCGGAGACCAGTGCCTCCGGTCCCGCACACATCCCTGCCTTGGAATCCTCTACAGCTCCCCGGCGCCCCCTGCTGGTCGCCGCTGGCCTCCACAGCTCCTGCCGGATGGATCAGAGCCCCCGCAAAGCTACCGCTGTTTAAGCACAACACATCAGTCAAGAAGTGCAGATCTTGATGTGATCCGTTTCTCTCTGCTTTCCTGTGCCTTAATAAAGAAACTGCGATTTTACCCAGCCTGGTTCCATCAGTCTCTGTTCTGCTGCGCTCCTGTCTCTCTCCGACTCGGTATGTTCTAAGGCAGTGGTTCTCAAACTGTGGTACGCGTACCGGCAGTGGTACGTGGCGTGCCGACAAGCGGTACGCCAAATGACCCTGGAACTGTGTCGTGTGCGCTGAAAAAGCGGGACGGGTTTTCATATTTTGTATTTTAATACGTGTCGAAGACGCAGCCTACGTCCTACGATACAGTGCGCGCTAATAGTTCAGTGGACACAAGAGATACTCTGTAATTCTATACCACTCTATAGGAATGCGTGCTACGGATGCAA